CTACCCCGGCGGGCCGGCAGGAAATTGCTGGTGGCATGTGCACGTGCGTGAGAGTTTGTGCTTGCCTGAGTGTGTGCACGTGTGGGTGTGGTTGAGCTGGGTCTTTCCCTCCTCTTGGCCACCTGAGTGCTCACTCTGTCAGTGATGTGCGTGGAGGCAGCCGGCCAGCAAGTTCCATGTGGCCCCTTTCACAGAGGGAGCTCGTTTCGGGTGGGAGCCGAGGCAGAGCGTTCCTGGCGGCAAGCAGGAATTCCTCCTTCACCTAACGGGAGCTGTAAATATCTGCCCGTCTGTCTGTGACTGGAAACACACGTACACATATATAACATGCCGTTAGTCGGGGTTCGTGTGCAACACTGGGCCCCTGCTGGCTGCTGCAGCTTCCCCTCCAGGGCTCCCACGAAGGGGCAGAGCCCTTCTGGGGACACGCGCGCGCACACACACTCACACACACACACACACACACACACACAGAAACAGGCAAGGTTGGGAGAGGAAAGAAAGTTGGAGAAAGGGAACGTGAAGGAGAAGGAAGGACAGAGAGAGGAGTGTGGAGCCGAGAGAAAAATGAGACCAGAAGTGGGATTCCAGAGGAACAGGTGAAGAGCTCCGAAAAGCAAGGAGGGGGCCTTCGAGGGCAGAGAAGGCAGAGCTGGTGCTCAGAGAAAGGCAGTCCTGGGTGGGGGGGGCCTTGTGGCTGTTCCAGGGCTGTGGAGGGACCTAAGGAAGGGGGGCCCACCTGCCAGCTGTTGGCTGAGCTTGACCTGGGTCTGGGTACCGCAGAAGGCCACAGGCCATCGATGCGAGGGGGCTGACTGAGGACACGTGTGCAGATGAACAGAGAGTAGCCCCAGACCCAGGAGCCATGCTGAGACAGAGTCCAGATCCATTACCTGCCCCCTGCGTAGTCCCCGCTTCCGGAAGCCTCCACAGTGGCCAGGGCCCTCGGGCACTTTGGGCAGGTGGCCTCTGCCTTTGAGGTGTGGATCCCATGAGTAGCGCAGGTCCCACGCAGAGGGCAGTCAGCTGAGCATGCTTCCGTGGGTGGAGAATAAGCTGTGGGCTCTGAGATTCTCTCCAACCCCAAACCTGGCCTGGGCTCAGGGACCCTGATGCCGGTCTGCACAGGGCATCAAGCCCAGGCATAGGACACAGGCCTGGACTGTTTTCAGGAGGCTATATTCGATGGGCCTCATGCGAGGAAGCTTAAAACCAGAGATGATGCCCTCTGGTCCTCTGGGCCAGGATAGAGGGAAAGGTTGAGTTGTGTCCGGGCCACAGCGGTGCCCCTGGCGGCTGCTTCCCATCTCCAGTCGCTAGGGCGTGAAGGCACCAGGGGTCTCTGATGAGAGGTGCAGGCAGGGGGCTTAGGGCTGCTTTGCTGACCTTAGGGTGGCCCCAAACCGGGGGTGTGTACTTAGGGGCCCCACCGCTCTGGCAGCCAGGCAGAGGCTCCTAGGGGATGTGGCCCTGGAAGGCTGGGGAATCAGAGTGACAGCCTCGGGGGCGTGGACCGGGGGAGGGTTTGGGGGGAGGATAAAAGATGGAGCTGGGCACCTGTCTGCCTTGTGCTAGCCAACACTGTCCCTGCCCCTCCACTGGCCCACAGGCCACCAGCTGGCCCATTATCCCTGGCGAGAAAGCAGACACTGGAGGGGGGCTCCCACGTGGCAGCAGCTCACTCATGCAAACCCGCCCGGCTGGGACTGCCAGGGGAGAGCCGCTCCGCTCTGGGTCCGAGGCAAGGGGAGAAGGGGGGCAGCGCAGAGAGGAGCGCCCGCTGTGCAGCAGTCAGGTCTCCTCCTGTGCTGTTGGCAGGGGGCAGTGCGTGGGGCCTGTGAACAGGAGATAAAGAGTTCAGGCAGAGGGTTTTTTTCTCACTAACCGTGGATTTGTATGTTTGTTCAGCTGGTGGCTCTGATAAGCCCCATTCTGCCAGATAAAAGCTGAGCAGCCATGAGGCGGGGCGTGGGGAGGGGTGTCATAAAGGGACCTTCCTCCTGTCTGTCCTGAGGCCTGGGGTTATCCCCTCCCCCGGGGAGCCCAACAGGGAAAGGAGTCAGGATGCTGGGGTGTCACGCTCCCTGGTGTGCTGGCCTGGGGTGCAGCTTCTGATCCCCAAGGGTTGTCCAGAGTAGGCCTGGAGCTGAGGCACCGCTCCTGGAAAAGCCCAAGAAAGCTAGCCTGCTGGCTCCCTGCTCTGGGGGCTGGGGGGGGGGTGGTCTTCTCACCCTCCCTAGGGGCCTGTCCACCAGGGCCCCCCGGCTCTTTGGCCCTGCTGCTGCTCTATGGGCTCCTGTCAGCACCCCCCACCCCCCCTGCCCCGTCGGGTGGACAAGGGTCTGCCCCATCACGTCCCTTACTGTCCTGTCTGGGCAGGGTTCGTAGTTGAGCCCCAGGCCTGGGGCTGGCCAGCAGGGGCTTCAGCTGCCTTTGAGCAGACCATAGTGTCCCCAGGGCTCCTGCTTTAACCCTCCCTTCCCCTCCTGCTGCATGCGGGCTGTGAGGGTGCAGGGGGTGCTGCTAGAGCAGGCCGATGGGCCCCTGGCCGGAGCTGCCCCTGCTGCAGGGCTGGCTGGGTCCAGATTTCCAGCGTTTCTGCCTTTTGTCCTGGAGCTGAGCTGAGCATGCCGGGGGCCGGCGGGGGTGGCATTGTGGGGACGCTGGCTGGGCCGCCAGCCGTAAGATGGCTGCCAAGGGCTAAGATGGCTGCCAGCAGCGCCTGGAGGCGCGTGGCAGCGGGCCTCGCCCGCGCTGGATCCTCGCTCCCGCTTGCTCCTTTACATCTAGCTAATAGTAATAACAGCAATAACGTTTCGGGACAGTGTCCTGGTTTAGAAGGATTTCCTGTCTATCGCGCTCTCCTGGAGCCCCATTTGTCTCTGCCGTAGTCGCTGGCCCACCTCCATCTCTTTGTCGGGTTCTCTCTCGCCTTGCTGTCCTTGGGCTGGATGTGCGCATGCGCGTAGCTTTCTGTCTCCACCTGGCCGCGTTCAGGGGGGCCCGGGACCACACCCTTGGGTGGACGCCTCTGGCTCCCCCAACTCCACGGACCCGGACCTGGAAGGCTAGTGGGGACTGAGTCGGTCCCAGGATGGGTGGGGTCAGTAGCAGGCGCCCCCCGGGCCGCAGGGGAGCGTGTGCCCCTCAGGGGGCTGCAGGCGCTGGGCTGGTGGGTCTGCCCCTCGGAAGCTTTGAGTGGCACACTCAAAGTGGCTCCTGGGAGATGAAGCAGGCTCGCGGCACCCCCAGTCTAGGGATGTTCTGGAATGGACCGCGCACACCCTCAGCCCCTCACCTGAGTCTTTCTGGGCTGGCAGGGGAGTTGAATCAGACCTAGAGAGCCAGAAAGAGGCCAGGAGGAGAGAAAGACAAAATTGATACCCACAAGACACTGTGGCACAGAGAGGGTGCCCTCCTGGGAGCCTGGGAGGAGGTCCTATAGATTCTCTCCAGAGTGGAGAGTGCCACGAGCAAAGACGTGGCCTGGGGTAGGATTCCCCATCCCTAAACACACCACAGGCGTGAGCACAAAGGGCGGTGTGGCAGGATGTGCCCCAAATTGGAGGGGGTGAGGGGCCCTCATTAACATTTTCCTTATAGACTTCTGTTTTCTCGATTTATCACGAGATTTTTTTTTGGTGGGGGGACTTAAAAAAACTGAACAAGGTAAAGAATGGGGCAAGTGGGGACTGAAACTGTCCTGTTGTAGGCAACCTGTCCTTTCCCACTGGTCACATTGAGGCAGGCGGACAAGAACTTGGCCTGAGCCAAGCCTGGGCCTTTGCTCCCAGGGGGACGCTGTTCTTCTTACCAGCCCCCCTCAGCCATCACTCTTCCCTTCCTCCCGAGTGGCCGAGCGACCACAGGCCACCTTGCTGCAGTCTCTTGGGCCTAGGCCTTGTTCTTCAGGAACTTCCTTGTTGGTCACCCCCCAAGTGTGAGCATCTTGGCTGTGAGGCCACTGAGGTGGGGGGACTCTCAGGCCGGCAGGCTGACCGTGGGGTGGTGGGTGAGGCCCAGGAGGCCGGGTCAGAGAGCTGGGCAGAGCCTTGGGCCGATACCAGGGTGCGGTGTTCTGATGGCACCCCCATGTTTTCCCCTTGAGCGGCCGATTCTTTACCAAATGCCTCGCCTTTCTCCTGCCCCCCAACCTGCCCTGGCCCCCCTCTGCCACCCTCTCGCCAGCTGTCGTGCCTGGGCAGGCATTCTGGAGGTCCCCATTGTGCCCCTGGCACACAAAGCTTTGAGGACCTGGGGGGCGGGGGTGGGGGGGCTTTCCCAAGCTCCGCAAAATATTCACACACACACTCCACCCTGCCCCAGCCCTCTGTGAGCTCCCGCCGCACAATGGGCCCTTGTCTCGGGGCTCCCTCTGAGCAGCTGTGGCACTGGGGCATGAGACAGCCCAGACAGGCTGGCACAGAGCGGGCGACAGCGTCAGGGCAGACCTCCCCCCTCGGGGTTGCCAGGCACTGCCTGTGCGCATAAAGGTGAGGTGTAGGAATGGCTGTAATTAATGAAGTGAGAGAAGGAAGGGGCTGCTCCCCTGGGAGCTGGAGCCGAGTGGAGGATGGGGGACCCTTGGGTTCATCCCAGCTGTGCAAAGAGGTGATCGCTGGCTTCTCTCATGGGTATCGTCCTCGCCCTGGTCCTCAGCCGCTGCTACTCTCTCCCGGGGCCGACTCTGCCGCCAGGCACATGGGGCAGTGTCCACAGCCCGTGCTGGCTGTCACACTGGGGCGCTACTGGGATCTGGTGTGTGGAGGCCCGGGTTGCGGCCAACCTCCCCGCAGTGCCCAGGACACCCTGCCACCGAGAAGGAGCTGGCTCCGGTGTCCATAGGACTTCCTTCCTTCTCTCTTCAGGTGTCCCTAAGCTGCTTCCCTCCGAGGAGAGGGTGCTGTGAAGGTGTTTACAGGGCTGGAGGGGCAGCTGCTTGGATGGTGTGGCGGGGGCACTTTGATCTTGACCCCTTCTCCCCTTTGTGTCTCCTGCAGAATCCGGACAATCAGATAGTTCAAACCAGCAAGGAGATGCGGACATCAAACCACTGCCCAACGGTCAGTGCCCCCCCCCCGACCCCGCTCCAGTGGGCCCATGTCTAGCCTCTGTGGCTTGCCCTGCCCCTATCTGCCCTCCTTCCCCCTGGCCAAACAGGCATCCCCTCTCCTCCATTTCTTCCCCTTTACTCAGCCAATCCTTAGCTGAACTTCAGCTGATGCCCCAAGGGCGGGAGCTCACCTGAAGCCTACTCACCCTTCTGTGTAGACATGAGGGCCCCTGAGGGCCAGCCTGGGTCTGGAATGCAAGGCTTGGAGGGGAGGGAGTCAAAGTATGAGTGTGGAGAGCTTCAGGGAAACGGGCAGGCAGCCCCCCACCCAGCCTTGCCTGACTCACTCACTTGTCCTTTCCCCTCTTCAGGGCACTTAAGTTTCCAGGACTGTTTTGTGACTTCCGGGGTCTGGAATGTGACAGAGCTGGTGAGAGTATCACAGAGTAAGTGAGTTCTTTCTTCCAGCCAGGGCCAAGCTCAGCAGACTGGGGGTGTAAGGAGGTGGGACGCGGGCCCCGTGTGGCCCCCCACTGGAGGGGTCTTGGCCGAGGGGCAGACAGGGTTTCCTGGGATGCTCTGCCCGTTGGTACTGGGCCGGGTGGAGCGGAGGCACCTGGAGAGCCCAGTCTGTAGTCCCCACTGCTTCGGAGGAGAAAAATCACCACCAAGGGCTCTTGCGCAAAGACGCCCCAGCCAGGAGGAGGCTTCTGGGGAGTTGCTTAGGATGATAAAACAAGGGTCCATTGGGCCTTCCACACCTCAAACCTTATCACCTTCTTGCCTTTTCCCAGCTCCTGTTGCGACAGCATCAGGGCCCAACTTCTCACTGGCAGACCTGGAGAGTCCCAGCTACTACAACATAAACCAGGTGACCCTGGGGCGGCGGTCCATCACCTCCCCTCCTTCCACCAGGTGAGCCCAGCACCCTGCCCCTCCCTCCTCAGCCCCAGGCCATCTCAGGTGCTGCCGCCAGCAACACCTCCAAGGCCTGGGAGCCTTAGAAGGTCACCCCTTGTTGAGGGCGTGGGCTCCAGAGCTCCACGGCCCGCCACGCTACCGACCTCTACCAACCTCCTGAGCTTCCTGCTTCGTGCTGTCGCTGGCCATTTGGTGCCTAAACAGGGCACGGGAGGGCACTCCCAGTGGGGATCTGAGAAGGCCTCTCTCTTGGGGAAATGACATTCGAGCCCAGACAGGCCTGGGATGGAGGCTCCAAGTAGAGCAGCCCCCATCCCAGCCAAGGGTGGACAGCCAGGTGGGACCCCCCCCCCAAAGAGGGCTCTAGAAAATGTTTAAACTTAAAACTCACCGAGGGGTTTGAAGCAGGAGATGCGGGGGATATGGGTTCCAGAAAGTGCCCCTTGCAACAGCATGTGTGGGCAGTTAGAGGTTGGAGCGGAGGGGGCCTCAGCTGGGTGGGGGAGAGGCGTGAGGGGGAGGACGGAGCTAAGAGGTGTTGGGGGTGGATACATTCAGCCTTTGTCAGGGCTAGTTGTTCAGGGCAGGAAGGGATCCTGTGCTTTAAAAAAAAAAAAAAAACTTGGACTTCCGGTTCATTGTGAGGTTTTTGGCATTCACTTTAATTTGTTAGAATATTATGCCGTAATACTATGGTAGCTTCGTAGTAGTACTGTCTTCATATAAAATAACCTAACATCTTGATGTCTGAATTTTGTAGCGCCCCTTTGGGATTTTTGTGCCTGGCAAGTGCCTTTCAACTCGCCCTGGCCCTGCGGGTTGATGGGAAATAGAAGGCGGGGCCAGGGAAGCAAGGGAGGAGGCTTTTGCCCCCTCTTTGACCTGAGCAGCTCAGTGGATGAGGGTGTCATGGACTGAGAAGGGGCTTAAGGAGGAGGAGCAGGTGGGCTGGGCCCCGAGGGACTCCCAGGACCGGTCTGGTCTCGGGGTGGGCACGAAGTGAGTGCCAGGGAACCTCGGCTCAAGTAGCTGTAGCTCAGTCTTCCCTTGGCCTACCTGATCCCTCTCCTCTTCTCCAGCACCACCAAGCGCCCCAAGTCCATCGATGACAGTGAGATGGAGAGCCCTGTCGATGATGTCTTCTATCCTGGTACAGGCCGCTCCCCAGCAGCCGGCAGCAGCCAGTCCAGTGGCTGGCCCAACGATGTGGACGCAGGTATGGGCGTTGCAGGGCCGGCGCAGCGCAGGGCAGCGGGAGCCTCTTCTTCCTGCTCAGCTTATGGGGCAAGCCTCCCTCCGGTTCCCCTGCTGTGGTGGCGCTACCTGTCTTCTTGCCTCCTGACCTTCCAGAGGAGGGCAGACCAGTCCGAAGGAGGGGGTGGAGGCGAGGAGCTGGGCTGTCCCTACATGGGCAGCAGGGCCATGGGTGTGATGGAAGGAGAGCAGAGGCCCCAGGCCCCGAGCTCTCGTGACGTCCTTCTCTTGCCGTTTCTCTAGAGAGGTCACCCAGCTCTGTGGTCCCCTGGTGTGAAGCAGTTTCTCAGTCTGGGCACCATGGACATGTGGGGCCACATCATTTTCTGAGGTGGGGCCGTCCTGTGCACTGGAGGGCGCTGAGCACCAGCCCTGGCCTCCGGCCACGTGCCAGCAGCAAGTCCCCACCCCTCCCCAAAGTATAATGATCAAAAACGTCCCCGGATGTTGCTGAATTTCCTCTGGCGTGGGGGAGAGGCAAATAGAACTACTCTTTTGAAGGCCCTGGAATCACAGAGAGGAGCAGAGTCTAGGAAAGGATGACCAAATCATTGTCCAATCAAGCGGGAAAGCTAGGGAAGGGCAAAAGTTCTAAGGGAAGCTGGGTCAGTCCTCCCAGTACTCTCCAGCTGCCCCTTTCTCCGTGAACCCACACACCTTCACTTCCAGTCTTGACCGGAGGCCTGAGCAGACCCAGAGAACCCGGATGGGAAGGAGGGAGAGTGCGCGTGTGTGCTCCTGCTTGTGTGTGTGCATGCCCGATACACGCATGAAGAGGCTGGCCGTGGGCTACTCCGGCCGGGCACACGGCTAGTACAACCTGCGTGTGTCCCCGAGGTGTGAGTCGCGGCACTGGGGAGCGCAGCCCCGTGTGCAGGGCTTGTACACAGGGCTTGTACGCTCTGGTCGGGCCTGGAGACGGGAGCTCTGCTCTGGAAGCAGGAAGAGGAAGGCCTGACTTGCTGTCGCTTTGCCTGGTGTTTTCCAGATGTGCATCTACAGAGATGGGCCAAGCAAATGGGCCAGGCAGGGGCTCGGGAAAAGCAGGGCGGGGGGGGGGGGGGGGGGGGGGGGGGGGGCTTCTGCTTTGCTGTGGTCCAAGGGACCCGCTCTCAGCTCCCTGGGACGAGCAGAGGAGAGCTCATCTCCAGACTTTGGGCCGAGGGAGTGGACCAAGAGCAAAGCTCACCTTTGTGCAACAGCTCTCCGGGCAGTCTCTGGGTGCCTCTCACAGGGCTTTGTGTGGCAAGCAGGGAGCTGGGTCGACACAGCCCAGATACCTCTCTGGGAGAGAGAGATGGGGTTGAAAAGGCCTTGAAGACTCCACAGCCAGGGCCTCAGTTAAGTGACTGTCTCTGGAGGACTCAAGTGCCTTGAGAGCTGCATCTGTAGCTGCCTCCTGGGGCTCAGCTTCCCCGTCCCTCTGCCCTGACTGGTGCCCAAGGAGCTGTCCCCCTCTGGCTCCCACTCTTTTTTCTCAGCCGTCTGCTCCGGTGCCTGCCATTTCTGCTCCTTCCAGCTGTCCTGCCACGCAGGCCCCCAACATCCTCCTGCAGCATCCCCAGCTCCCTTGCTTTCCCCTCTTTTCCTCCACCCCCCACCCCCGCGGTGTTGTTTCCCCGTGCTGCGACAAATCGCCAATTAAGCAGCCCAGCTGCAGGACAGGGAACAGCTGGGGAGGCGCTGTGCGGCCACGGGGACAGCTGTGCACAGCTGGTGGGAGTGCTCCCCACCCCCTCACCGTGCCAGCTATCAGGTGGCACACAGCTGCTGCCAGATAACACCTCTGCTGGCGGCTGGGAGTTCGCCCTTCCCCCACCTCTTCCCTCCGCGGTTAAGACTGCAGTCCCCCCGACTCCCACTCAGACAGAGTCTGTGCCTGAAAGACAGCAGCTCCGCACATCCGCTCCACTCCATCTGAGCCCTCCAGCCTCAGCCTAGGACAGGGGACAAGCTCCCCTGGAGGACCTGGCCCAGGGCCCCTGCTGTGTCAGAGCCTCCATGGGACATCATGCTCTCGGGGTGCAGAGATGACTCTGTTGGCAGCATCAGGATCCTTCAGACAGAGCTGCAAGGCGGGGGGGACTCTGTGCCCCTGTCCCAGTGAATGCCACCCCATCTCTGGCACCAGGAGGAGAGCAAAGCCCCGAAATGACCCATCCCGCAGCTGCCCAGCCTCTGGATCCCCTGGCAGGGGGTTCCTTTCCTGTCCCTCTCTGCCCTCAGTGCCCAGCCAGGTCCTCTGGTCCCTTCAGGTCCTCCTGCTCTCTCGTCGGGGCTGTGTCACCCTTGCAGTCCCTCCCAAGGGCTGTGGCTTCTTCCTACCAGAGCCTCCCCCAGTCCAGGGCCCCACAGAGCAGACCCCAGCCCATTGCTCTTCTGGGTCACCCCTCACTCTGAAGCTGGCTCCCTGGGGCTCCTCCTGCACACCTTCCCCGCTCCCTGTCCCCGCATCCCACCTTTTCATCCTGTGCCCTACAAGCTCATTATCTGCTCATCAGGGAGCAAGACGGGCCCTCTTGCTCGTCTCCTATCCTGCGCACCCAAGGGTCTCGTTTTGCTCTCCAGTCAGAGCACCTGTAGCTGGCCAGGCGGCACACCAGAGCCAGAATGTGGCAAAGGAGGCAGGAAGGGGGTGTGTGGGGGAAGGGATAGCCGGGAGGGGGCAGAGGAGAGAGGAGCTGGCTGCTGGCTTCCCACCTTCCCTTGCTCTCACCCCGGCCCAGCTAAACCTGCCCTGTGTTGCTGATTCCTCCCCCCAGGCCCGGCTTCTCTAAAGAAGTCAGGAAAGCTGGACTTCTGCAGTGCCCTCTCCTCTCAGGGCAGCTCCCCGCGCATGGCTTTCACTCACCACCCGCTGCCTGTGCTTGCTGGAGTCAGACCAGGTGAGAAATGGGGGGCCTGGCGGGGGGCAGTGGGGGAGGCGGTGGAGCGCTTAGGGGCAGCTGGCCAGGTGAAGGAGCTGGGGTGACAGCCCGAGTGACAGCCCCAAGCTCTCTGAGTAGGCGGCAGTCCAGCGGAGGGTGGGCACGGGAGTGGGCCCTCCCTCTGCGGCAGCCCCTCCTCACCTCGTTCCCAAGCAGCCTCCCACTGGCTTCTCACTCCCCATGTGCACGTCTGTGCATGGGTGCATGTGTGTGTGCTTGCGCGCACGCCTGTGTGTGCTGTGCAGCATGGGCCTGTCTCAAGGCCCTCCCCGACCTGCCTTCAGTGACAGAGGCCTCAGATCCACTCCTGCCCCCTCTCCTTGCCTCCTGCCAGTGGTGGGCGGGAAAGCACAAGGCTTCTCCTTCTGTCCTCCTTTCACCTCTTCCCTCCTAGCTCCTCGCTGAGCCTGGGGTCTGATTTCCCAGCACCGGGGTTGGTCCCTGTGGGGCACAGACTGACAAGAGCACTCAAGGGAGCCCAGGCTCCCTTCTCAGGCCTTCCCTGCCCTTTGCCAAAAGTGAAGGGCTAGGCCCAGGGGCTGGTAGCACCTGGGTTCTTCTCCAGGGAGAGGAGCAAGCCCACCGCCTTGGTGGGCTCTCTTGCTTTGGTCTCGGGAGCGGGTGCTTGGTGGGGGCAGGGTGGGGGGTACATCTCAGCGTTCCTGAGAGGACAGCATCCGGCAGGAAGTTGTAGGAGCTGAGTCCTCAGCCTCCCCATTCCCTCATTTGCTTTTTCCCTCCCCTGGTACCCTTCTGGCAGAAAGAGGCCTGGACTTTTTCTCTGCCTGCCTGCTGTCTTGTGGGCTTGTCTGTAGGACACAGAGAAGAGTGAGGTTTACCCTCCCGGCTTCCTCCTCGGGGCCTCCTGGCTGAGAGCCCAGAGGCAGCCTGCGCTGGGGCAGGGTGTGGTGGCTACAAGGTGGGGGCGGGGACCCCAGGCCCTCTCTGCACAGGCAGCAGGAGGGCAGCAGGCCCAGCTCTGCTCAGCTTTTATGAACTCCAGAGAGAAGCCAAGTTTCCTCAGCCCCCTAATGAAACTGAGAGCAAGAGCGAGCTGATTGGAAACAGACTGGAGGGGGAGGACTCGGCCCAGGGAAGAGCTGGGGCCGGCGCCGGGGTGCGAGCTGTGTGTGGGGAGGATGCGTGTGCAAGGACCGCGGGGCTGAACGCACGGGAACGTGGCCTGGGCGGCAGCGGCCAGAGCCACGGTCCTGTGCGTGCAGGAGCGGGTGTATGTGTTTCAAGGGCTCGTCCTGCACAGGAAAGGGGCCGGGGCCCTGTCTCCAGCCAGAGCCTGGGACCCCTTGGTCCCTTCTGTCCCTCCCCCAGACTCACCCCTAGGCCCTGGACCAGGGTGAAGCCGGTGAGGCCCTCCCCACGACAGACTCCCAGGAGGCCCCAAAACCCTAGTCATCAAGATAAATAATATTTAATGTAATAATTGAAACGGTTGCAAACATGCGAGGAATAGCTATCAGCATTTTAAACAAAAGATGGGGCTGGCCTTGCACTTGCCCAGCCTTGCCGTAATCAGACTTGATTACAAAGACCAGCAGCTGGCTGACCAGCCCTGGTTTGCCAATTTGACTTTTTATTTTAAAAAAGTAGTAAAAAAAAAAAATTTTATTTACTTAGTTTGGCGGGAAGGGGCCAAGGGAGAGAGACAATCTCCAGCTGACTCCCTGCTGAGTGCAGCGCCAGGCGTGGGGCTCAGGGTCACAACCCTGAGATCACGACCCTGAGGTCATGACCTGAGCCGAAATCAAGAGTCTGATGCTTCACTGACTGAGCCATCCGGGTGCTCCCCTGGTCCCGCTTGTGAAAGTACTGTGTTAAGACATTGCTTACCTCAATTGTCGATTATTGATTGTCGAATTATCTGGTGCTGCCTTAACTTTCTCACCAGAGGCCGGTGCCTCACTCTCCTCACCGTGGTCCTGGCCTTGATCTTAACCCCATTCTCCCTTTTCCTCTGGCTCCTCAGGGCTCTGTCTGACCAGCATCCCCCCCCCAACCAACCCCATCTTCCATTGCGCCCCCTTCTGCCTCCTAAGCCCTGACGCCCTCTTCTTCCTGCCCACATGCGTGCAGGGAGCCCCCGGGCCACGGCGTCGGCACTGCACTTCCCCTCCACGTCCATCATCCAGCAGTCGAGCCCGTATTTCACGCACCCGACGATCCGCTACCACCACCACCACGGGCAGGACTCGCTGAAGGAGTTTGTGCAGTTCGTGTGCTCGGACGGCTCGGGCCAGGCCACCGGACAGGTGAGTCCACAGGCCCCCGGAGCCCTGCCACAGCTCATCTCTGCATCTGTCCGTCTGTCTCGGGGCTCACAGGGAGAGGGTCCAAAAGCCAGGAGCCCTCCTAGGGCTGGGGCAGCAGAGGGCCGGTAGTGCCAAACACCTCCATCTTCTGGATCTGGGGGTAGGGGTCCATGTGTAATGTCAGGGCCTGTCTGTCACCGTCCAGAGTTGGGGACGAGGGCAGTGGCCGGGCCCGCCTTGCTCTTGCTTGGGCTCCTTGCCCTCCCCTCAGTCTCTGTTCCCCCGTAAGGGTGTGTCCGTGATCTATCCAACCCAGCCTGGGCCCTGACCTCGTAGCACCCCTCTTAAAACCTCAGGGCTATAAGGAGTGTGTAGGTGCTAGACCGAGAGTTCCTCGCCTTGGCACTATTGACATCTGGGCTGTCCATTCTCTGTTCTGCGGGGCCGTCCTGGGCACTGTGCGGTAATAGGCAGCATCCGCGGCCCACCCACTCAATGGCAGCTGCACCATCACTCCCAGTCCTGATCACCAAGGATACTTCCAGAGTTCAGTGTGCCCTGGGGGCATCACCATTCCCTGGTGAGAAGCCCTGGGTAGAGCAAAGGCCCTCCCTCTTTCCCCTCGAGCTGTCATGGAGTCTCCCGTTGGCAGAACTCTTAGCAAGAGGTTCCCAGGTCTGTTTTTGTTCTGGAGGGAAGCCCTTCTGCTCCTCAGCCTAGGAGAGATGCTGGTTGCCCATGGAGTTCTGCTGCCCCACTGCCCTTCTCTGTCAGCAAGCCCTAGGGCCCAGGCCCTGATGAGCAGAAACATAGGCCACTCAGCAAAGGGCTTATCCCAGACAGTGGTGGGCCAGAGGTGACCCTTCAGTGGGACAGTGCTCCTCTCTTAGTCCCTGGGAGAGCACTCGGGTTGGGACAGGGCGGTCTCTAGGCCTCTGGGAAGGTTCTAGAGTCCCAGCAGCACATGGCGCTGTGAGAAGGTCCAGTCCCTCTTTCCGCAGCTGGTCCAGCCTGGAAACCCGTTGTGAGAAGTCGGGGGGAGGTCGCTCAAAGGTCCGTGGTGGGGAGAGGCGTTCGGAACCCCGTGCCAGAGGTGGCCCAGGGAGAGCTGTGGGCGGCCCTTGGCCACACAGCCCAGTGCTGCCTCAGGGCGGCCTGTACAGAATGGGCATTTGCTAAGTGCTGGTGCATTGATTTGGGGCAGGGTTATGGCTCAGCCTCCTCGCTCTTGCTGTCCAGAGCGGAAGCCGGTCCTCTTCCCTCTCTCCTGTTCTCCCTCCTTCTACTTTCCTTGTCTCCTTTTCCCTGTGAGGTTCTCTCTCGCTGGCTCTGTAGCCCCTTAGCTCTCTCAGAGCCTTGCCCACCTCTCTGGACAAGCTCTGTCCACTTTTAGGGGCATGGAGGGGGAAGTGGCCATGACCCTTGACAGCTACTACGGTTCCTTCAGAGATGACAGCAGAGTCTATGGGAGCTACAAGCCCATGTCCCAGCGCCCAAGGGCCCTGGGGTCTGGAATATGGATCAGAGAGTCCGGGAACCCCACCTTGCCTGCCTTCTCACCCACAGAGGCAGCTGGGGTTTGGAACCAAAATGAGACTGACCTGAGGGGCCAGTTTAGCCCAAAGAGCCAAAGCGAACGCACAGGATCTTCGGGAGTATGGGTCAGTCTGTCCTTAAGCCTCCTGATGATGGCTGGGTCCTGAGCCTCTCCCTTGACTTGAGCGTTCAAGATTAAGGGCTTGTCTGGTCCAGAAGGCAGATGCTTGCTCCGAGTAGACCGTGGATAAAATACTACAGGCAGGAGGGCGAGCAGGCAGTCTGGTTAAACAGAAGAGCCTAGCCCAGCTGGGGAGCAGTCTCTGGGTTTCCTCTCCTGGCCTGTTGTGCCCAGAGAGGAGAAGGGCGTGTCTTCAGTGAGCCTGCTCTCTGGGGCTCGGCTGCAGGCTCTGGAGGAGCGAGCCAGAGGCCCCAGGCTCTGCAGCTGACCTGGTGACCGGCAATAGCAGTAGCAGGCTGCTCTGGGTCCGTGGCTGCCTCCAGAGCAGAGTTTCTCAGCCTTAGCATGCACGAATCACCTGGAAGGCTCACTAACACACAGGTGCCTGGGCCTCACCTGATTCGGATCCCCCAGACCTGGGTGGGGCCGAGAATCTGCATTTCCCCCCAAGTTCCCAGCCGATGCTGTTTCTGGTCAGGTGACCCACTTTGAGAACCATTGATCTAAAGCCTGAAGGAGTAAATTCCTAACCTCTTTGAGAACGTGAAGTTACAGAGCATCTTCGCAGAAAGAAAAAGTACGCATACAAAATTTTTACGATTTGCAAAAGGGTTTCCAGGCACCACCCCCGTGCTCATCCTCGGACTACAGCAAGAGGCCCTACTTGAGAAGAGCCAGATCGGTAAAGGCCAAGGCCAAGTGGACACACCACTCAGAGGAGACGCAAAGGGCAGGAGGATGCCTGGTTAGCTGTGTTTCTGGCAGAGAGAAGAGGCCACCAAGTGAACCGATGGAGAAGTCACAGGGCCCGATGGGATAGCGTGACCCCGGGAGGCAGAAAGACCGGTTGTAGGTCAGCCTCAGGCATCAGCGCTGGAGCCGCCAGGCCTCGTCTTCATCTGTCTGTTGAAAGTGAAGAGCTATCCCATCTCCAGGTTCCTTCTAGCTTTTAACTCGTGAGGTTTCAAGGCACTGCAAAATCACAAGACCTCGAGATTTTTAAAACCTCAACTTGTACTCCAATCAGAGCTGAGATACCGTAGCCTGGTTGGAAGTAGCTTCCAGAAACTAAATGTTGTAAATCAGCAGTGTTCGATGTCTGGCCGTGTCGGGCTGGGATTGGCTTCATCAAGAGCGATGAGTGATTTAGGTCCTCCTGAGGGGAGACAGGGTCTTGAGGACTAGAAGGAGGCACAGGGCACCCTGTAGGAGCAAGGGCTGCCTGGAGGGCCATGGGTCCCAGCCCCTGGGGAGAGGGGCGGCAAGCACAGGATGGCGCAGAATAAAGGAGTGAGGCTGTGATCTCTCGAGACTTGCGTTTCCTGCTCTGCTGGAGGAAGGCAGTTGCCTATTTCTGAAAGGGCACCTGGCACAAAGGGCCCAGGACGCAGAGATCAGCAGCCCCTGCCTGCTTTTGTCAGAGGACCTCTGAGTGGGCAGGAAAGAGCAAGTCAAGGGAACCATTTGGAGAGACTAGGTGCTGGTCTTTAGAGGTGATGGGAGGTGGTGGCCAGAACTCAGAAGGGTGTGGCCGGCACAGGTCAGACATGGGGCTCGATGTTTTGAAAGTGCAGCATGTCTGGGCCACACAGAGGTGGCTGTCCCCGGGCTTGCTGGGGAGCCTGGGAGGCAGCCTGCTTCAAAGGCTACGGTGGAGGTCACGACCATCCTAGGAAAAAAAGGCAGAGAGAGAGATGGATGGTGATTTAGGGTATCTGGCTGGTCCCAGGTTGGGGATGGTGTTTTCTGAGCCGGACTTAAGGGGTGTGGGAAGGGGTGTTGTAGACAGAGGGTTCTACAGTGAGCACGGGTGCAGCCCCCAACTGCTTAGGCTATGTTCTGGAAACTCCAGTTTGTTTGTAGTGGGAAGTACTTGGGAGGAGGTGAACATAGAGGCATGAATGGTGGAAGACCCCATCTGGGCTCCACCACAGGGGCCTTGGATGCCCAACCAGGGGGCTCGTGTTTGATGTTACACGCAGTCACACCTGTGGGAGGGGAGGGCAGTAGCCTGAGTGCTTTTGGATTTTGGGATGAGGGGTGGGATGAGCCCACTGGAAAAAATCCCCAGGATCCCCGGAGTGAGAGAGACATGGTTGTGAATTTCCGGCCTCACCAGTCACAGCTCGGTGACTTTGGATAAACCACTCAGCTGCAGAGCCTCAGTTTCCCCAGTTGTGCAAGGGGGGAGAATCAAGTTTCCCTTGAATCAGGGTTTCCCAGCCATGGCACTAGTAACGTTTGGATTGTTGGGCCTTTATCTTGGGGGCCATCTCGTGCCTTGTGGGGTGTTTAGCAGCATCCCCGGACTCCGCCCCACCCCAGATGCCAGCAGCACCCCCAGAAGTGGTGCTACCCAACATGTCTCCAGACGTTGTTAATGCCCCCTGCCGGGGCAGAATCCACCCTGTCACCCCTAGCCCAGGCGAAAACTGCTGCCTCACGGTGGGTGGGGTTGGGGGAGCATCGGTCACCACCTGGGTAAAGTACGTGGTACGGAGCCGGGCGCCGAGACGCTGAGTGTCCTTAGAGGACCCTGTTAGCACAGGGGAGACCCCTTGGGAGTCTCGTGATCCTAGTCCAGTGGAACCAGTGAGGATAGAGGTTGGGTCGGCTGGAGACATCAAGGGGGTGGACTCCGTGGGGTTCGCCCACCAACAGAAGGGGCAGCACGGGAGCCTCCTTGAGCCTTGCACCTGGGTGGCTGGGGGGGCAGAGCTCTGCCTCTCGGGAGAGGGGACCGTTTAGGACTCAGAGTTCTAGCCCCCCACCCTGAGCCCAGGCTGCAGGTGGTCATCAAGAGCGCTGCCCAGAGCTCCAGGAAGCTGTGCCTGCAAGAGGCCAGGGACCTCTGCCCCTCCCTGTGGGGCCTCCATCCCTGAGTCCCAAAGGCTGATGTGCACAAGGCGTACACGGGGCTTAGGGAGGAGATTCAAGTTTGAGGCAGAAGAGGGAATAGATCCAAGCAATGGAGCTGGCGGCCAGGTTCCCAGGCTTCGGAGGGCCCTGTACAGGGAAGTCCTCTCCAAGAGCCTCGGGACTGCGGCTGGCAGCGGCGGATTTTCCTCTTGGGCCGTTCTGTAGAAAATGGGCCGGCACCCCACGATTCTCAGGCTGCCGGAGTCCAGGGCAAGACCCCCAGCACGCGGCGTCTCCCTGGGCTGTGATGCGGGGTAGACGCCCGAGGGCCTGTGGTCCTTGGCTGGGTCGGCCGGCCCCACCCCAGGGGCCCGCAGAGGGGAGGCCTGCGTGTGTTTTCAGGGACGGTGGGGGGTGAGCTGGCGCATCTTACCTGCTGAGGCAGGTCTTCCAAGAGCACGAGCGTGCTAGGGGCAGCTGCTTAGGTGGCGAGATGGCATGTTTTGGTACCTAAAACATGTTCCCTAAGAAATAACAAACCACTCGTCGGACACCCCCTTTCGTCCCTCCCACAACTTCAAAAGAGGACCACAAAAAAAAAAAAAAAAAAAAAAAAAAAAAAAGAGAAACACCTGAGAGACCAAATAGAAGCCTCACACCCTCACCCACCCCGTGCCCCGGAGGAGACGACCCCGTCCTGCATCTTCCACCGGGAGCGCCCGCTCTCAGGAGCGAGCTGGCGTGGCCGCGCAGGGGAGCGTGTGTCTGTGTGGGATGTGCCTTCATGCGTCACTCTATTTATGTTGTTCGCAGCCCAACGGTAGCGGCCAGGGCAAAGTCCCGGGGTCATTTTTGCTACCGCCGCCGCCTCCAGTGGCCAGACCTGTGCCCCTTCCTATGCCTGATTCCAAATCCACCAGCACTGCCCCAGACGGCGCCGCCTTGACTCCTCCATCACCTTGTAAGTGGACGATGAAACCGAAACCACAACGCCCAGCATCCCTGGCCCATCCAAACAGTCTCCACGGCAAAAAGAAAAACCCCTGCCCCGCCCACCGCCAGAGCCCCCCAACCCAGAGCGCCATGGAGCCTCCCACCCGGACAAGAGCAGAGCTGAGCCCCCAGTCACGGCCTCCGGGGCCTCAGTTGCACCAGCCAGCACCCCACGAGCCCCCCTGCCCACCCGCGGCTCCTAGCCGGGGGGCCCCTGGCCCAGGCCCCTCCCCGGGGCGGGAGGGGGAGCACAGTGGGGCACGCAGGCCAGGGGTGCTGGCCAGGGTGGGAGGGGGGCGGGGAGGCGCAGCCATGCCATCTTCATGCCTGATTGCTGTTTTTTTTCATTTTTCGTTTTTTTGTTTTTTGATTTTTGTTGTTTCGTTGTGCCCCGCTACACCAAAAAAAAATTAAATGTGACCACAAGGTGACGCCACCACCATCCCCTTTTGGCCTTGCCCCCTCACCTCCATTCCGGGGCCCTTGGGCCTCTAACTGTACAGCAGGCCGGTCCCTGACCTCCTCCCCTTCAATCTCACATTTGGTTTCTCGTTGTTCCTCTTTTTTTTTTTTCTTTTCTTTTTTTTTTTTTTTTTCCTCCTCCCATCCCTCTCCCTTTCCCAGGTTGACTGTTCCAAGGACAAGGGAGGGCTCTCGGCCTCGGCTTACTTCATCTCTTTCTCTTCCTCTCTCTCTCTCTTTTAACCAATGACAAATTTTGTTAAAGGGAAAAGAAAAATCTGAGTTGAGAGGCCCAAGGTAGACCCGACGTGTGAAGGACAGGAGAGGTGGAGGGTGGGCGGTGTGCCGTCTGCGGGCAGAGGGTGGGCGCTCTGGGGGCCGGCAGACCACAGGCCAGGACTGCCTGGTCCGCAGTGGGAGGGGCGGCCCATCTCACTTTCCTCCGTCTCGCGCTCTTTGTTGCCTTCTTTCTCATGGTTTGAGTTCTTTTCCCCTCTCCATCCTCTTCATGCCATCTTCCTTCCCATCTGCATCCGCCATAAGACACGAAGTCATGGTCATGGTCATTGGAGGTGGGCAGGGTGGGGGAGGAGGCGCCAGGCGGCAGAGTGGCTGGGGGGCGCCCTGGACAGTATCTGGTGAGCATGCAGTCCCTGGGGTGTATCTGGTAGAGGGTGTGTGTGGGGGGAATCCCTGGCAGCCTGTGACACTCTTGTTCCTTCTGGGGACATCCACCCTGCTGGGGGTGCACAACCCATTCCCTCCCATAGGGTTCCAGCCAGAAAACCTGAGAAGAGCTCAGGGGTGTTGGGCTGCCTGTTTGTCCCTCAGGCTCCAGAACTGCTCATGGGCCCCCAAGCCCTGGGGCTCTGCCACCTCCTCCTGTGCTTTGGCCTGTGTCAGGCCCTGGGGACCGCAGTACCACAGGCTCTGGCTCATGCATCAGAGGAGGAGGACGCCTGCTGGGTCCAAGCTGGCAGCCAGCTCCTCTCTCTGCCCCTGTCCCATCCAACTCAGCCCTCCACTGGACCCCTGCAAGTTCCCTGAGCCATCAGCCCCATCCTTGGGACTACCCAGCGTGGTTCTGTGATGCAGCACTGGCCTAGCTGCCCTGGTCGGAGAGGAGGCCTGGCTGAGCCGGCCTTCCCTGAGCAGGGTGGGGCCGGTCCGGCTGAGCCCCCAGCATCCCGCCCTCCCAGGCTCCCTCTTCCCAAGACCCAAGAGAGTCCGTGGGAAAGCACGGGTGCCTTGCTTCAACGGGGGCTAGCCTCAGACCTGCTCGGTGCCTGCTTTGGGGACACAGCAGGGTCTATGGGACCTCAGCTAAAGCCTCCAGGGCCCCTCCCACACTCTGGGCCAGGAGAGAGGACATCTGGCTGAGGTGGAATGCTAGGGGTGGGGGACAGTGTGTGCTCCTGGTCAGTGAGCGGGTGATGGGACCCCTCTGGCCTGTCCTTCTCACTGCCAGCCTAAGCCCTGGCAGCATGGTCTAATCCAGTCTCTCCCTCTCTCAGCAGCCCCGAAGGGCAGTGCCCGGGCAGGCCCCAAGGCCTCACGGGGTCTCTCCCTCTCTTCCCTGCTCCCCACAGCATTCGCAACGACAGGCGCCTCCTCTGCCAACCGGTTTGTCAGCATCGGACCCCGGGACGGCAACTTTCTGAACATCCCACAGCAGTCTCAGGTAGGAGGCTCCACCCGCGATGTGGATGTGGGCGCAGGGGGAAGAGGCAGGGGCGGGGGCATCATGGGCGTGAGGGAAGACGCTGGCTCCTTGAGGCCAATCCGGGAGAAGGGGCTACGGCAGGGCTGGAGGGCCCAGGCTTTTGCAAGCCCAGCTGAGCCTGCCTCCCCAGGCAGCCCCCAGGTCCCCTAGCTAATCAGCTAATTGGATAATTAGCTCTGACAGCCCCGGCCCTGGGGAAGGCGGCCAAAGACCTGAGGCTAGAGGCGCTCTGGGCCAGGCCTGGTGGTAGCCCGAGGCCCCGTCAGGAAGAGGACAGCTTCTGCCTGTTGCTCTCCTCCCTCTCCAGCTGGAAGCCCTGGCCCCCAGCCCTCCCCTTCTTCCTTGGCTTTGGGTGGGCTGGGCAAGGGGTGGAGGAGGGACAGAGCCGTCCTGGTGGGCTGATTGCCCAGAGACTCTGGCACCCAGGGTAGGGCAGGGCCTGTTGCCACCCTGGAGGCCCCTCCCTCAGGTCCCCATGAATCCCGTTAGAGGGGAGGCCGGGCTGTTGGAACCTCCAGTCCAGCTCCCGCCCGTCCCCAGTTCTCACAAGGAAAACTCCAGCCTTCCTGCTGGAATGCCCTGGATCTGGTTTTGTACAGGCATCTGTGCTCTTGCACGCACGTGGGCCCCCTCCTCCCTGTGCCTGTCCCCCAGAGGCTGCGACTAGCTCACAGAGCCCCGGGGCCTTGGGGTGCGGGGAGGACCCACCTCAGGAGCAGGGTGGAGGCCGGTTTTACAAAGCCCCAGGCTTCTCGGAAAGGAACATGCAAATAATCTTTCTCTTTTGCACATTTTACCAAAACACCACCCTGTGAGCCCAAGGCCTGGAGGCTTTTTCTCCGCCCCAGGAAATCCACCCCAGCCCAGAGCCCCAGGGCCACCTCTTGCTGCTCCTGCTCCTTTACTGCTCTGAGGCCTGAGTCCAGAGAAAGTCGGTGGATGGAAGTTTTGTGTGTGTGGTTTGAGGTTTTGTTTTTTTTCCCTTTTCCTTTCCCTCCCTCAAAAAAAAAAAAAAAAAAAAAAGGCCAAAAAACTTTGTCAAACTTCAAACTTCAGAGCTCCCTAGTGGCAAGGAGGGGAGGGGAGGGGAACTTCAACCCCCTCCAGCTTCCCACCCCCTTTCCCCAGAGTCACGTCTGACCCGTCTGGTTTCCAGGAGCAACCAGACATGATGTAACACCCAGATGAACTTGAACTTGGGGGTGTTGAGAAGAAAAACAATGGCTCTGAGCAGGGGCTGGAGCCAGCCCCCTCCGCTGCTCTGTGCCAGGGAGGCCGAGAGAGCCCTGCTGGCAGAGGGCGGGAGGGGGTGCCAGAGGAAGGGACAGCAGGCGGGCCTCCCCTCCTGGCTCTGGGCTGGCACCAGGCGGCAGGGCTCCATCGCTCCCGCCCGCCCGCCCTCTCTCCCTCCCTCCCTCCCTCTGCCCCAGCGCCTGTAGCTCTGAGCTCCCCGTTGCTGGCTTGCTCTTGGGGACCACTGCCGTCAGTCCTCCCTGCTCACCCTGTTTCCGCCTGCCTCCGTGTGCTTTCCCTTCTTCACTTTCTCTGCTTACTTTGCTTGGACTTTGGGGCCAAGGCAGACTTTGAGGCAAGTTTGGGAAACAGTCTTTCTCCCCCTTGTTTTGCAAAGCAGCCTGAGCCCCGGGCCCCAGCAGGCAGGTGTGTCTGGGGGTGACGGTGGGGGAGACTGGAGCCGGACAAGGCCCACACAGCCGAGAGCCCTTGGGCCTGGGGGCAGGCAGGCGGCTGCAGCGGGCGCAGGGGGTACAGTGGGGGGCGGTTTCCACAGTAACCAGTGACTTTAGCTGATCTCGGGAGCACCAGATGGAGAGAGAACAATAGAATGAGGGAAGAAAAGAGAATTTTAGCAATTTTGTCATTCCCTGGACAGCGCTTTTTACTTAGTTTTAATCAGTTTTGGACCTGGCTCAGGAAGCAGAAAGGGTGAGCAGAAAAAGCTGACCCCCCCCCCGGGACCTGTGGGGAGGCGCTGGGGAGCTATCCTGGAACCACCTTTGTCTTAAACTCCAGGCCTTGAACTGGGGTCTTCCTGGTCTGTGGGGCGGGGTGGGGGGGCGCAGGAGGGGCTTCCCAATCTGAGCACTGGTGGTTTTCCCCCTCCCGTGCAGCTCCAAGGGAACCAGCCTGGAGCCTTGGCTTGGTCCGACAAAGAGGGGCCAAGCGGGCTCTCTATGTCCCCGTTGTCACCTGCCTCCTTTCCTTTACAGGGAGGGGGCGGGCCAGGCTTCCACAGCGGTGCTCTAAGGGTTCCTGCGTTGTCTCCCCTTGGGAAGGGGGTCCCAGAGAACACGGAGGCCTTAGACCTCAGGGATAGGGGCTCTCCCAGGCGGCTCCCTTCTCAGGCCAGGACTGGAAGCCTAGGTGCTGGCTGCTGACTCTGCTCCTGCCGAACTCGGGGTGCTTTCGGCCTGGGTTTCCCCCGTGCAGTGCCAGGTATCCCGCGAGCCTCCCTTTAAAGACCTGTAGTTAGTTGATGGGGTTGGACCTTGGGCAGTTCGTCCAGGAGCTCCGCCACAGGAGGGCAGGTCTCTGGGTGTGGGCCAGCACGTGGCAGGAAGTTGGGCATCTCTGCCCACCCAGTAAATGCCAGCAGCACCCAGTCATCGTGACAACCCCAAGCCCCCATTCTTCCAAATGCCCTCCACCTGCACCATCCAGTGGGGCAGGTCCTGGCCATGTGTGGCTGTTGAAGTTCAAATTAAATAACAAACTAGAGGGGCACCTGGGTGGCTCAGCCATTTAGCGTCTGCCTTCGGCTCAGGTCGTGATCCCAGGTTCCTAGGATCAAGTCTCACATCAGGCTCCCTGCTCATCGGGGGTGGGGGGAGTCTGCTTCTCCCTCTCCCTCTGCCTCTCCCTCTGCCTGTGCACACGCTCTATCTCTAATTTAAAAAAAAATGTAAATAACCTACTAGAGAAAACTTTAGTCCTTAGTAACGTCAGCCACATTTCACTTGCTGAGATGCCACATGAGGCTCGTGGCTACCACACTGGATAGGACAAACAGGGAACGTTTCCATTGTTGAAGAAGGTTCTAGGTAATCTTCCAGGCCCTTTTTAACACTACAACTCCATGTGTTCATCCCTCAGTAGAAGACTGCCCGTGGACCCAGACCAGAGCCTGAGGGGCGGGTCCAGCCAGCGGGCATAATCTGTGCGGCTTAAACAAGTGGTTTTAAACACTGACAGCTTTCGCATGCGATGCCGTCAGGACTTCTGGCTTCTTTTGAAAAGCTGGCTGATCTCGCTGCCCCGGGGGCCTCACTCTGGTGTGGCAGCCTTGGCCCTGGGCTCCCTGAGAGCATGCCACGTGTGGCGGGTAGGAACATCGACTTGGAACCTTCCCCTGTGTCCGAGTCCTGGCTGGGCTGTGAGGGCAGACCATGTAGCCTCGGTCAGGCCAGCCCCACTCTCCCCACCCGGCTCTGTGTGGACTTGGAGCACGGGTAGGATGGGTTACTACCCAGTGCCAGCTCTGTGGTTAGCCCTGCTGGGCATTTCAGATCTGTGACCCAGAGCCTGGGAGATGTCCCGAAATACATTTTCAGGGACCATTTTCTGGCCCCAAGGGTACTAGTAGGTCTGCACAGGTCCTGTAGACTGGATAGGAGAAAAGCTCCCTCCCCTCCCCTCCCCCGCCGCCCCTTGGCCACAAGGTGGGGCCAGAGCCTTTGATGGAGGGCATTGCCAGGCCGCCCAGCCTCTGGGTCAGGTGTATTTTGTGATGAGGAGCCACCAAGACTGGTTTGTGGGAAGGCGGCTCCCCCTGCTGGCACCCTGAGGGAAGCGCCTCCCGCCCCAGGGAGACTCGGGTCCTTCCCCTGCGCCAGGTGCCCCAGGGTAGAGGATCAAGCACAGTGGGCTATGAGGCCCCTCCCCCAGGCCATGGACTGCTAGGGACTGAAGCCATGTGCTGTCCCCCCACCCCAGCCTTTCAGCCTGTGGGACCTTGGCTGGGGAGTACAGACGGGAATTTCTGCTTTTAATCCAAAGAGACAGAAAGAAAACTCAGCAAGAAGCTGAGCCACCCCCACCCCACTCCCAAAACCCCTCTGGGGACAAAAGCTCCAGCCTGGCATCCTCCCCACCCTGCAGGACCCATACAAAAACCTAAACAATTGGAAACATGGCCAGATCCCAGGTCTGTGCCTGTGCCAGCTCCAGCCATGGGGGTCCCACCCGCTGGGCACAGTGCCCACGGGAAGGCCAGCTGGACCCTAGCACTGGGGGGCAGGGTCTCTTGGGGGCGACAGGATTCCCATAGGAGGTACCGACATAAGGGGGATGTACCTCTTCGTGGGGTGTTGGTGTCCTTGGCTCTGCTGGAGGTGGTCCCTCCAGGGGCCTTGGGCTCCAGCCTGCGGTCTGCGGACCAGGTGGGCGCAGAAGAGACTCGCCCCTGCTATTCTCAATACGGCCTCTTTTTGTCCCATTTCAGTCCTGGTTCCTCTGATAAGATCGACAAAAAGAAATGACAAAATGTTAAGAAGAGGTTCCTCAAACGGGGGGAGAAGAAATTTTGAGACGTGGAAAAAATCCCCCAGCCCAGCCCCACCGAAAAGCAAAAATTAGACGTCGTCAGCCACTCAGCCCTTCTCTCCTCCAGCCCGGGGAGCCCTGCAGGCCCCCAGAAGCAGCCCAGTTCTCGGAGAGCCCTCGGAAGAGGTCTTGGGGGAGCTGTGCACCAGCAGCCAAGCAGAAAGAAACATGCAAACGGACTCTGTTAAGTAGAGGACAGAAAGAAAGAAAGGATGCAGCAGAACTGCCTTTCTCCCCTCCCTAACCCGCCCCGACCTTCCGGGGAAGGAACAAAATCAACCCAACAAAGAAACCAGCACAGTTCTAAAGGGGCCTGTCCTCCACCCTCACCCTTCTTAGGGGAACCCCACCCCCAACTCGGGCCAGAGCTTCACTAGGGAGCCCAGAGGACAAGCTTGTACAAATGATGGGGGGCAGATCCAGAGGGTTTCTCCCTCCAGACTCCGCCCCCTCCCTGCCTGTCTACCCGCCCCCCCAGCCCCCACTGCCTTGGCCTCTGGCTTCTTCCCCCAGCTGCTCTGGACTAGGTGAGGCCGGTGCCTTCCTGGTTTCCCTGCCCTACCTTCGGGCTACAAGCCCCTGGGGCGGGGGGCAGGGAGAGGCCCCTGGAGCTAGTTTCTTGCTCCTGCAATGGAGGGTGTCCTGTCACCCCACCCTGAGCTTCGGGGTTAGTTTCAGGGCCCCAGACCCCTCTGTACAGTCCATAGGAAAAAAGTCGGAATGCTACGACAGCCCGTCCCAGCCTGGGACAGGCCCCCTCTTCCTGCCCTCTGCAGGCCGGGAAAATCACTCTCTCGCCGCGCCACGAGTGAGGGGAGGTGGGCCCCAGGGTCGCCCCCACACCCCAGCCCCGCATGCAGGTGCCCTCGCTCCGCCCCACCGGTCCCTGCCCCTGCCCCTCACACAGACAGCCCTGCTGTGGCCGGGCCGGAGAGTGGAGCAGAAAGGGGACCCCGGAGCCGAGCGAGGAGGACGAGGCAGCCGCCGCTGCCACTGGCTAAGCCACCCACCTGCGCTAGGTAGGCGTCCTGCTCGCCGACTTTCAGTTCCTTTGGAGGGTGTTGGGTGTTGTCCTTTTTCACAAGTTTTTTTGGAGCTTTCTCTGTCCCCCCAACCCCACTTTCTCCACCATATGGGCCTCTTGGCCACTTCTTTCTGGATTTCAGCTGTAATGTCTTTACTCTTTCTTTAGGGGTGGGGCATTCATTGTTTGGGTCTTTTGCCGTCGCAACTGGGAACTCCTCCATTTGAGCAACTTGGGGACAATTTGGTAACACACCACAGGAAGTAGCTCTCCCCCTCCCCCTGCAGCCCCTTCCTCCCCCACCAAGGGATGGTTGGGGACCTGTCCAGAGGGTCTTCCGAAGCCCCCTGGGAGGGAGGGAAGCAAGAGCATGCCCAGCCCCCCTCCAGGGTGTGACTTGGCCCCTCTGGCTTGTCTTTCTGTGCCTTACTCCCTCCTCCCTGCATCTCCCTTCCTCGGCCCCCTTCTGGAGTCCTTGTGCCTCTCTCTCTCTTTCTTAACTGTATGAAAACACAAAGCACAGGTCAGGATCCTCTGAAAGTCAGTCAACCCAACATTGCACCGTAGGGGTGGGTTGTGGGCTTTATTTATTGTGAATCTAGTTTGTGAGGCTGTGGCCCCAGCAGGGAGGGAGGGAAGGAAGGAAGGGAGGCAGCTGGCTGGGGAGGCGAAGAGGGCCCTGACCTGGGCCTGAAGGGGCCGGCGAGTGGTGCCTCCTCACCCGGAAGCCGCCAGGTGGCTGGCCCCAGCAGTGGCTTTTGTTGGAAGTTGAGCGAAGGCCCTCCCCCGTCTCCGTGCAGCCCCTGGGGAAGACCGGGACTGAGAAGCAGGGGATAGGGGATCCCGCGGGAGCCTGGGGGGGTGGGGCGTGGGGAGTAGGGCGGGGGGGGGGGGGGGCCGGGTGGGCCGGGCGTGACGCGCGGTCAAAGTGCAATGATTTTTCAGTTTGGTTGGCTAAACAGGGTCAGAGCTGAGAGGGGAGCGGAAGGGACCCCCTGCCCGGCCACACGCGCCCCTTCCCTCGAAGACAATCGGGGCCGCGGGCGCGCTGGGCCCGCGGGAGCCGGGGTCTGCGGGGCGCCCGCCCGGGCGAGGTCGGAAGCTGCAGGCCAGCTGGGCCGGGGCGGGAGCGCGCCCGGCGGCGCTGCCCGGGCGGGCAGGGGGGTGGGGGCCGCTCCTTTCCCAAGTGTCGTTGTGAGGGGGCAGGCGAGGGGCGACGAGGGCGACAGGAGATGTGGGGACGTGTTAGAAGAGAAAAAAAAAAAAAAAAACCCACAAAAAATATATATGGGGGAAATGAACTTTTTTTTCATTGAACCAAGTGCAATGCATCAGAGAGTTTTCCTATCTTTGTATGTTAAGAGATTGTTAAGAAAAATTCTATTTTTGTTGTAATGTCCTCGCGGCTCTGGGGACGCTAAAAGAACTGGGCCTGCCCCGCCCTGCGCGGGGATAACGAAAGCTGAGTGTTTTTTCCTTTTTTTTTTTTTCGTTCGTTTTCAGTTTTTTTTTTTTTTAAGTCGTTTTCCTGCGTTGACGAGGATGATCTGGGGTTTTTATTTGTTTCGTCGTTCGTTCTCGGTTTCGGTGGGAGGGCTGAAGGAAACGTTCACATTTTAGAGTTTAAAAAAAAAAACAAACACCTGGACATTAAAAAAAAAAAAAAAACAAAACCACAAGATCAAAAAGGAAAAGGACGAGAGAAAATTATTTTTAAGATAATTCAACATAAAAACCCTGGTGCTTCTTACATTATAAAGTACGTTTTAAAAAAAACCCACAAACTATTATACATAAGTTTATGAATCAATTAAATATCCTGCACTTGTTAGGAACACGCATATCCCTTCTTTGTTGAGTTTAACGGAACGGGACAGCGGCATACGCCCGGCGGCTGGGCTGCTCTGGCCGCGGGTCTCCCCGGGCGCCCCCTCCCCAGGGCCCAGCGCCCCCTCCTCGCCTCATCCCCGTCCGGGCACGGGGGCGCGGCGGGGGGGTCCCCAGCCCCTCCCCCGCAGAGGTCAATGCCAACGAACAAACGTCCCCTCCCTCCCTCCCTCTCCGCCCCGAGCGCCCTTCTTTGAGCCAGACGCCAACTTGACCCTCACCAGCATTATCAGGAGCGCGCTCAGCAAGTTGGTAGTTACCCCTCCTTTTCCCCGGCGCCCCCGACTCAACATCACTCCTTCCACCCCTACCCCTACCCCCGTCACCCACCGGGGAGCACGAGGAAGGCTCGAAGCTCCAGGACAGGACCAGCCAAGCTGACAGGTCGATTCGCCCAGGCCCGCGCCCGCACGCACGCACGCACACGGCCCCGCACACAGCCCCACCCCACCCTGCAACCAGCCCCGTCGACTGCCTTACACACCCGCCCCCGCGCTGGCCGGCCGACCTAGTGCCTTGTTCTCACCCCCGTGCTGGCGGAGCGGACGCCGCGCTCTGGGTCCCAGAGGGGCCGGGTGGCTCAGACGACCCACCATTTCCTCACCCCGACCGTGCTGAACGGACCCCCCACACGAGAGAAAATAAAGGAGCAATAAAGTCACGAGAAATTTCGTCCCCCAATCGAGAGCCCGAGGGGCACCCCAGCCCCGCCTCTGCTCCCCCCCCCCCCCCCCCCTCGGGGCGCCCCCCTCCCCCCCCAAGCCAGCCTGGGCCAGCCCCGCTTCGGCCCCTCCCGGGAGATCCGTGCGCCCGACCAGCACCAGCATCGCGGACCGCAAAGGCCGCCCGTCCCGTCAAACAAGTTTCTTCTTAGGCTAAGAAACGCAGTATATACGAGTATCTCTATATATAGTACTAATGGATTTGGTGTGCTTCCCCCTTAGCGTCCCCTGTCCCTCCGCTCCTCCTCCTTCAGCCTGGTCTCCCCCTCTCTCTGCCCTCCACCCCCGTCTCTGCACTGAGATACATAAGAAACAAGGGTAGTTTACTGTCTGTTTTGTTTTCTGGGTTTTCAGTGTCCTAGCGGAATGCAAGTAGGCAGCCAGCCCGTATGTTCCCTCTCCGCCCCGCCCCGCCCCGCCCCGCCCCCGTCACTGCGCTTCTGTTATACCATCTTTGCCTGACTCTCTCCGGCTTCTCCATTGAATGGCTAATGTGTATGTGAAATAAAGAAATAAAGAAAAACAAAAGTAAGAGCGCCCGAGCCTTCGATAACGCCTTCATCCGGGGACTGGTTCGGGATCGGTGGGTGGGTCGCCGCGTCGGTTCTGCGCCTCAGCGGATGCGGTCAAGGAGCGTGTATCCATGAGTCTCCAGGAGGGGGCGCCAGTGAGAAGGGCAAAGACTCCCCGGTCCCTCCCCACCTCTTTCGGTGACCCCAGCCCGGAAAAAAGAGGCACCACTTTAGTCCGATGAGCTGTCTGCCATATTGGTTCCCGCACCTCGTCCCTGGGAGGGAGACGCGGGAAAGGCTATTTCCAGCGGTTGGTGGGTGATTAAAAAAAAAAAGGTGGTCTGCTGGGGGGCCCCCTGGGGGCGACAGTCGCCCTTCCAGACCCCTGGGACCCTTTTCCCCGTTGGGGACGTCCTCACTGTTCCCTCTTCGGGGGAGTTCGCCCCAGAGCAGGCGCAAGGCATCATCCGCCCTTCCCTTGACTTCCCTGGGCTGAGTTCCCGGTGACCCTCGGCTCAGAAGCAACGCTGCGGAGGTCACCGCACCTCAGGGCTCACGGCCGCTCGTTCCGTCTTGATGGGCCGGGCCGCCCCGTCGGGACTGCCGTCGGGGCCCGCCGGGGGCGCGGGCTGAGAGGGCACCGCGGCCTCGGCCCTGCGACAAGGCCCGCGGCGGGCGCCATCGTTGGGGCCCCGATGCGTGGGTCTTTTGCGGGACCCGGACGGGGCGGGGCCTGCGGCCAGAGCAGCCGCCTGGTCGCGCAGCAGCCGCACCAGGAA